TCCCCCCCCCCCCCCTTCTAAAAATCATGCCAATTTAAATTAAGTAGGTATTTGTCATAATCCCTCCTTCCTTAAATAATATTCTATGTTTGGCAAGCCTCTCAATTCCCTAAAATCAACTCCCCCAATCACCCTAGCCACCGCGCCTCTCTCTCCCCTCTTTCCCCTTCTTGCTCCTTCCAATTAATTCTTCCCCAATCAACCCCTCCTAAATTAATTCCAAATTTTTCTAATTGTTGAAGTTAGTTCCATATTTCCTAATTGTTGTCTCCACTATCATATATCCACAAAGTCTGAAATTACATGTCATGTTTCCTCCCTCCCTTGGATGGCCGGCCATATCCTCACTCATTCCTCCTAAAATGTTTGCCCTAACTTGTTCTTTCTCTTGAGTAAGAAAGACGGGAGCCCAACTCTCTTGGCCAGCTACATCCCATCCCTTACCTCCATCACGACTCCTGACTTATTATCAAGACTTGTTCGATACAAGGATAAATCCCAACAACTCGAAGGCCGATTTGAGAAAAGATAGAACAAATATCAAGAACACGAGAATGGTAGACTCTTTTTCTAACCCTATATTTCAACTCTTCCTCAATCAGGGCATTGTTTAATTATGAAGACTTATCTGCTTAAACCGTATTAAGAGTGTGAATGAGTGGATCTTTTATAGTGACTATTCTAATTGTTACTTTAGAGATTCTCTTTGAAAACCGCACATTAGCATGATATGATTTGATTTGATTATTTTGTGCTGCTAACATTATTATTTAATTGATTACTTGATCTTAATCACTGTCTTGTTGGCTTAAATCTTTACTAAGAACATAAGAAGTTGATAAATTTCAAAGCTTTGTCTATGCATGTGTAATTTTCTGATCCACAACATTTGTCTATATACGTAGTCCTACATCACCTTATTTATTGGGGTGACACTTTATTGTTAGGATAGATCAGAGGAGTCTAATGTTTCTGCTGGAATAACGGATGGTGACTGAGGAGCATCATAGGTGGTTATTTGAATTACTTGTATATGATCTCTTAGGACTAGACAGTTCTCATCATTGCACCTTGAGGACAAGGTGTGATTTTTTTTATTTTTTTTATTTTTGGGGGGGGGGGGGAGTATTGATACATCAGGGGGGCCCACGTTGTGGGGCCCAAAAGAGTTAATATTCACTATGTAACGAGGAGGAATCAAGGGAGTTGTTTAAGAAAGTTTTAAGTGAAATTGGGAGGGAGTTATTTAAGAAAATGAGCCTGATTTGAATTTAGATTGGGAAGAGAATTAGGATAGGTTTATTTAAGGAATGATGGATGATTTAGATAGGTTTATTTAAGGAATGATGGATGATTTAAATCAGATTTGTGAGGGAATTAGGAAGGATTTATTTAGGGAATGAGGATTGAATTAAATTTAGATTTGGGAAGGAACTATGAAGGTTTTATTTAGGAAAAGATGACTGGTTTGAATTCAGATTTAGGAGGGAAATATGATGGTTTATTTAAGAGTAATTAGGTTATTTTATTTTCATTATGCAATTTGTTTTATGCGGTAGTTTTCTTTGTGAGTTTCGTAGCAACACCTTTTTACTTCCAAAACGCATCATAGAACATCCAGTTGGTATGTATATGTTAAAATTCCTTAAAATTCCTGAAGGAAAGGGGGAGCTTTTTAGGTCTTCTTAAAAAGGTTTGCATCCCATCTGGTAGGGCTGGGAGTGGTAATGCTAATAATTTTTTTGGATGAACGTTTTGTAAACATTTTTATACAGAAAGCATGTACATATGAATGTAGATATTTTGAATGGATGGATCTTTCATTACTTTTCCTTTTGTCTTTTTCTCTTTTTTTTTTTTTTAAATAAGGAAAGTAGAATAGGGCTTCTGAGAGGGGAATGAGATTTACCTGATTTTCAAATTTGCCTCTGCCAAGTACCAAATCCAACAAATATTTGACGTGTCCGTCATGCTCCATTGTCAAGTTGAACGTTCAACCAATTAAATGTAGTTTATCAACTTGAACATGCTAAAGCTAACTAATTGTAGTTTAATGCTTAGATAACCAATTAAATGAAGTTGCTTCAAGTTGTTGTGATTTATTGGTGATCATTAGTGTTTAATCACTAATACATAAGAATTAATCAGTGTAATTAGATAAATAATCATAATTTGTCTATTTTTGTCCGTAGTTTAATTTATATCATAATGCTAGGTGTATATCCTTTAACTATATTTCAGTATTATGTTAGGCCCGCCCAAGGGGGGCCGGTTGAACATATTAAACTGGTTCTTAGTGGACTGGTTTTGGTTTACAAGAGGAGGGGGCCAAGGGGGGCGGAATCAAGGGGGAGAGGGGAGAGGCTAAACAGATGTGTCCCACACTTTAATTAAGCACTATATTGGAGAGAAAATTCAAAGTAGGGACGGTTTAGGGATTAAACTTTTGTCTTTTTACTTTAATTAGTTTTGTCTTGTTAGGGTTAGGGTTATCTTGAGTTTTGTAATCTGAATTTGAGATCAAAAGTTTGGTTTTGGGCTCTAGGCTTCGGCTAGAGATTCAGAGAGCGGAATCTTCCTCTCGAATCGAAGATTCATTGTATCGGGTTGTTTTTTTCTTTCTCTTATTGATTTTTTAGTGCTTTTTCTCTCAGATTTTCCTACAGAATCTGTGAATCCTGCACTGTTATTGCTGGATTTTGCTGAAATCCAGCAGTTCATTGAATTTTGTGGACTGTTTTCTATCATATTACTTTTTTAGTATATTATAGTTACTGCAATTCTATATGTTGGAGCCATAAGTGCATTAATCATTGTTGTTGAGATTCCAATGTTTCCTACGTGCTCTTTCATGGTAGAGTTACCATATGCTAGACTCAGTGTTTTCTTGCCTTCAGAGTGAAACAGATTCAATGAGTTGCCAATATAGTGTGCGAATAATTGAAAAATAAAAGCCTCTGGTCTAATTGAAATAAGATAATAAAGTGTTATTTGTACCTAAATATCTTGTTTGGTACATAATTATTTTGGATTATTACCAGCTGCGACTACTTGCTAATTAATTTGCTTTTTATCAATTTTTCTTAGTTATTTGATTGACTATAATTATCTACTGGTTAATCAGAATTGGTACCACGGTAGGTAAGTTACTGGAATGATTAGTTACGGCTTGCTCCAAACGAGCCCAAATTTCTGGTCTTACATCCCAGAAAGAAAGAAAGATCGCTAGTAAAGAAGTTTTTGTTTACCAAACAGATCTTTGTTGTTTTGAACCTATTGACTTAGGCTTCGTTTAAAACGGCTTTCTTAGTATTAAAAAGCTGCGTTAAGAAGCAGTAAGAAAGTCATCCCAAATGAAGCCTTAATCTTCCAAGAATACTGAATCCTTTAGAGCAGTATTGATCTAAAATTTAACCAAAAAAGATCTTAGGTTTCTTTATTTTTTTAGTAGTTTTGTAGAATTCGGAAGAGTGAAAGGTTGCAAGTTTTCTCCCCGATCAGTAATGCCCCTCTGAAAATGTTGTTGACTATAATTGAAATACTTATGATTCCTGAGTTCTCATTTATATACTGCAAGTTTTCATCGGATTCGTTTCTTTTTGAGTGTGCATTCTATGTTAAAGTTTTTTTTTTTAACAGAAAATCATTAATGTGTCGGAGCCTTTAAAGTTTTTTAGCTTCATTGGTGGATGTTGCAATCTTTATGCATATCTTTGAAGTAATAGTTTGATTATATGCACTCATTCTTCTTCGACATTGTAGGTGGACGTTTACACTAGTCATCATCTATTTTATGGTACAGTCCTCAACCCTATTTCCCTCTGATCTTATGGCAATCATTCAAAATTATAGTTCTTTAAATATGGTTTATAACATATAAAATAAATTGTTAAACTCTGTCAATCCATACCCTTTTTTGAAACTTAATTGTTCCAAGAAATTTTATTTCTTTTCCCTCATGTATAAATCAATATTTGTAAATCCAGAGTGGTCTCCAAGAAATTTGCTAACTTTTGATCACAGATTGGTACTGTCATTTCTGCTCATGGTTGCTGGATATATTCAAGAACACCTATTACTGAAAGTGAGGAGGCTAATGGCTTCCTTAAGGGTGACCTGGTAAATAGTAATGCACTAAACTTGACTCTACGAGCTGATAAAGACAGGGAAGATACCAGATTACCAAACCGTCGCGAAGGACAAATGCATGAAAAAAGGGCAGGGTTTTGGGGCTATCTAATGCAAATCATCTATCAGGTTTGCACTGGAACTATAATATAAAGATCTTTCGCATACGAAATAAGCATCCACCATAACACGACTATTTAGAAGTAGAGTTAGCTACATAAGTACTTTTTGGGGTTGGATTTTCTTGTCCTTGTTAATGCCAGTCATTTCTATGAAGATCCATGTAATAAGAATCTCCAAATCAATACAGAATTCATTTAGGCGTGGCACAAAGAAATCTAACAAAAGCTTCATTGGGTAGTTTAAGTACTTCCAAATCCTTCCTGCTCCATTTTTAAATCGTAAATATTTATCATGCTCCATTTTTAAATATTTATACATAAATTTTATAAGTTATCCTTATTGATTAAGCTATTGTTAAACTGATAAATTTATGTTCTTTTGACAGATAAGTGCTGGAGCTGTGATTTTAACAGATGTGGTCTTTTGGGGTCTCCTTCTACCATTCATGTCTGATGAGAATTTAAGGCTTGATTTGGTTAGTGTATTATCGCCTGGATTACCTTATAATGAGTATTATTAACATGATAGCTACCTAATTAGAAATGCGACAGTTAACATTTCTCTCTTTTGCATATATTCTCCATTTGGTGGTGGTATCATGGAGAAAGGAACAAATTTGGTTTAGGATATTCTGGCTTAAATTTGATGAAGATGGGTTTTACAACTATTAATGTTGTTCTGAGATGATCAATAGAATAATCAATAAATTTTTTTTTTACAATTATCTCAAAGCAAATATCATGGCTGGATCAGGATATCTTCATCCAAAATTTGTCTATGGAGAGATTCTAGACTGCTCTCCATCATTGCGTTAACCTTAGATATTAATATAAGAAAGTAATGGGGGTCTCATTTATTGTGACATAGCTTCGTCCTACAGAAAATCATGTGCCAGACTTAGAGGGTTCTGTGATTGATGAAGTTATGTTTTTATTGTTAACCGCCATCAAAAGAGAGTGTGAGGAGGTGTGCCGTTGTGGTGAGAGCTGAAGTAAATGACCTTATGAGAACTTTTACGTGCTTCTTTAGCCCATCCAAATATCCTGAGTGATGCAGGACTACTTGGATGAGATGCTTATGGATTCATTTAGGAGTTGCACAACTCTTAGATTAGAATAATTTTAGAATAAAATTACTAGCAATTCTCAACGAATGTTCAAAACAAATAAGGAGATATTTTGTTTAGGCGAAATTACATGCTCTGAGTTTGAAGCTTTCAAAGTAAGTAAGAAAATCAAACAACACAAAATAGTAGGCTTCAAATTAATCTCTAATCTAACAACGAGAATTAGGATGCATAGAAAGTACGCTCAAAAACCTACGACTTACTAGGCTTAGCAGGAGCACTTGGATGAGTCTTTGCGATTACAATCAAGCCAACGAGAATTTAGATTTCAAAGAAATAAGATACAGGTGAGAGAAGAAACCTTTGCCAAAAAGATGTGGAGATTTTCCACTCACGGCCCTCGACATGCTCGTTGATGGTGTCCGTTAGAAAGCACAAGATGCCATCCACGTCCTCTTCAAGTATAGTCAATCTCCTTCTCCTTGAAGACGTACTCTGAAATCCTGAAGGAAAGAAGCTTCTCTTGCCTTGTGGAGAAGGGAGGGGACCAAAGCTGAAATCTAAAATTGGTTTCAGATTCCTGTAGGTAGGTTAAGGGAAATAGTAGGAATGAGCCAAGATGACTCCTTGGGAACTTCGGCCAGTAGCAGGTAACGGATTCCCAATCTTCTCACAAGGGAAGCAGGATCCAGGGAGAGAAGGTGGGTTCGGGTATGAGAGGGGGCGGGTGCTGGGCAGTAAACAGAGAAGAGAGGGAGGGAAATTCTTTCCAAATCTAGGGAATGGATTAGGAAAGAAATAAGTAGATTGAGGATATGGGAAAATTCGGCCACAGCAATACTTTGAATTATTTCTAAATAAACTTAACAGGCAAATAGGAAATTAATCCTAATTTTGCTCATGTGGTGGCCAGCGGCATTTATGGACCAAGGCTTGATTGAAGAGAGCAATTAAGGCTTCCTAATTTAGGATTTAGAATTAGGAAGTAATTAATTTAAATTCTCTTGATTTGAAATTTCAAAATAGATTTAAATCACATACTTTCCTAAAATAGAAGAATTAATTTAGGAAACAATTTGAATTCAAATTTAGGTGAATTTGAATTTCAAATTACCCCAATTAATCCCAACCCCAAATTAGGAAATACAATAACAGTGGCAAGGTGGATGGGAGGCCGGCGGCTAGTGCATTGGGGCCGGCGGCATTGAGGGCTCGGGTGAGGTGAGGTGGCCGTGGGATTGTGAGGGATGAGATGGCTCGGGTGGAGTAGGGTGAGAGGTTCGCCAAAGGGAAGATGAGAAGATGAGAACCACGATCCCGGCCGTCTCCAAGGTTGGTGGGTGATCCGGTCTCCCTCTCCTAGGGATCTCTCCAAAGTTCTCTTCAAGAACTCTCAGATGCTCAAGCTCTCACAAGAACTCATGCAAGAAGAAAATTTTCTAATCAATCATTCATTACCTCAAAACAAAGGAAATGAGGCTATAAATAGCCAGGTATAAAGACTCAAGAAAATAAAAGACCAACTTGCCCTTTGGGCTTACATGCGACCACTCCCATGAAAGGGGTACAAAGGGAAATAATAACGACACCTAAGCAAATAAGAAAATGCATAAATAAAATAAAATACAATCATGACTAAGAAATACAAGGACTCGATCGTGGCCATAGATCGGCGGCCACATCTCTGATAAACCTTCCACGCTGATCTGATGTCCCCATCACTGAGCATCCAAAAATGATGCAATGGATGACGGCCTGATTTACTTGAAATGATCCGCAGAATTAAAGTTTATTATTACTTTAGAGCTTTCAAATTTCATTCTACTTTAGCTGGCTTATGCCAAGAGAACTTCATCAATTTGGAATGTTAAGACGGCAATATTTGAATGGAATTTTCAATAAGGATATGCTTACAGAAGCTGGCCTTTGACATTGTATCTGTCTCTTCTTCTTGAGATATCTGGTATTTATCCTGCCTACTTTTGATGACAGATAATGATCTGCATGCATTCTCTAAATGCCATCTTTCTTCTTATCGACACAGCCTTTAATCGTCTGGTAAGTACTTTTACACAGTTTTGTTGCAATTCACACATACTTTTTTGACACACTTTAAGTAATTTCTTGTTGCAGCCTTTTCCTTGGTTTGGAATGGCCTATTTTGTTCTTTGGAGCTGTATATATTTAGCTTTCCAGTGGGTTCTGCATGCCTGTGGTCTTACATGGTGAGTACTTATTAAACATATTTTTATCTCAAAATGATTTATAAAGCTAAGGCTAATAATGATGATCGTTTTTGTCTTGGATTCTTCATGATTATGTTATCTGGGTTCTGTTCAGGTGGCCCTACCCTTTCATGGAGCTTTCAACTCCCTGGGCACCTCTATGGTGAGCTTCATATACCCTCTCCATGATTTATTATTCTGTGCGGAGTGTGGTAGGTGTCCAGAGACTAATAAAAATGCGTCACATCACTCAAAAAATGTACCGAGCTCCGTACCCGCACTCGGTATTGCTCAGTACCGAGCAAGTAATCGGACTGGAGAACCACCCGGTATCCGCACAGAATAATAGCTCCCCTCTCCATACCTTGCTTCAATCCTCGCATCAAATAGAACTAATGGTAATCCTAATTGCAGGTATTTAGCCATAGCATTGGTGCACATCCCTTGCTTTGGCGTGTATTACCTGATTGCTAAGGGGAAGGATTCATTTTTCTCAAAACTCCTCCCGAATTCATACATCAAATCATATTAGAACTGCTTCCCTCTTTTATATCCATGTAAGTTGGAAGATTGATCCTTTTGCTGGAGTTCAAACCACTGCATAATATCTGAAATATATATAATTGTGTTAATGAGGGAACTTTGAACTGGAGAGCTGATCCGACATCTCAGCTTCTTAGGCATTTCTGTTTAGTATGCTGAATAATGGAATTCCCACAAACTTGTTGATTGAAAATATTATATTATGCATAGTGTTCATCCACTTAATTTCCTACAGAAGATGCTATTTTTTTATATTTGTCCCTCTTTTAGCAGTGTATGCAAAACTCAAAAGGGTAAGAAGCTGGCTTTCTATAATCCTTTTGAGAGAAGAAGATAACAGAGTATATTTCTAAACCTACCTGCTCACCAAGCCTGTTAGTGGAAAAATTATTCTATGCGGACCCCGAATGGCATCCGGAGACCAATCAGAGCGCGTCACGTCAAATTTTTTCTCGGTACCGGGTGACATGGCATGTTCTGGTTGATCTCCGGACCATCCGGTGTCCGCACAGAATAATCTCTCCTGTTAGTGTGTCTGTGTGTATGTATATACCCTACTTTGACACATCAATTTGGAGGGAGTGAGATGTAGGCATTATTATTATTATTGTCACTTTAGATCATACCAATTTATATCATGTTATTACATATCAACATCCAAATCTTTAATATTTCATACCTACCACTCACATATAACGTTAATATCAAATATATCACTCATATATTTTATTAATATCATTCTATAAATATTAATATTTCATTCATTTCCACCCATATTTTAACTATGAGTGGTAGGTATAAAATATTAAAAAAATTTATGTTACATATATAAATAGAATGATATAAAATGGCAAATCATGATGAGGTCTCCTACTTGAATGACCTTATGTTGGTGAAGTGACATTAGTAAAGATTAATAGTTGTCTCTGCGGAGACATCCGATAAAATTGGAACGATACTGAGAAGATTAGCATGGCCTCGGCGCAAGAATGACACGCATAAATAAATATTAGTAAAGATTAACAGTTAAAGGGCTCGTTAAACACCAAAATATCTTCAAAACATACAACAAAAATAACCTAAGAATGATTTAAGTATCTCATTCATGAGTCACATAAATGTGTTCGATGCATTGCATAGCATGAAGGGCATACATCACCTTCCACTCATAGAGTCCTCAAGGTTTAGGTTGCCTTTTTTATTTGTCCTTTGAACGAATTCAAATCTGATGCTAATCACTGCATATGCCGATTTTAATAAGGATTGAGGTGGCATCCAATTTATTATTACGGGTCCCCAAGTCGTGACATGATAAAATAATACTTGATTGTAATTTTATTGATGATATGGTTGTCCAATGTTTAAAATTATGTATTCATGTATTGATGCGTTTTTCATTCGTGAGGCGAGGCGTAAGCCTTAAAATCAAAAGATTGTGTAAATATAAAATGATAAATTTTTATACACTAATGAGTGAATAATATAAAATATAAAAAACATAAGATATGAAGTGAAATCAAAATATCTCAATAATAAGACAACATGAAATATAGTTTAACTCAAAATTCTATCTTTCCCAAATCCCAGTATTCTTTTCATTATCATATAATTTCAATTTCCAAAAATAAATAACAATGACATATCACATATGAACTCATAAGTCATCAGTACTATCATCACTAAGGAGTTCTTCATTTGAATAATCATCATGGTGAACTGCTCTCTCCCCTTCCTCCTCTCCTATAGAGTCCAATGTCGGGCATTTACTTCAAGATTTATGTAAGTTTTAATATATATAGCGTGAGGCGTGTCAGTGAGGCGAGGCGAGTCTCAAGACGGACCTTAACCAAGTTGAGGCGCAAACCTCATAAAAAAAACTCGATGCGTTTTTTACTAGAATTGCGCAAAGGCGAGCTTCAAGGCTAGCCTCATATTGCGCAATTTTAAACCATGGCATGCACTAATTCTTGCTTTTTTCTTAGGGGGTTCTAATGATATTGGGGTCTACATGGACTAAGGCCATGTTACATAATTTGGTTGCCTAGCATTTGTCTACCTTATCTTTGAATCAACAACATTTTGTGGTACTCATTTTATAATAATAATAAAGATGTCAAAATGGGTTAATGACTCGGATATGCGGCTTAAAATGATAAACTCGAATAATTTAGGTATTTGTATAAATTTGTCTGAACAATCATTATGACTATTATGATAGAAATTTTTGCAATGTCTTATCACATCTACTGGATTTCAACTTCCTCTCATTAACATTGCGTGTAATTAGTGTCATGCACATTAAAATCTCTTTAATCATTAGTAAAGTAATTGAATGTTGAATTACTTGTAATATATATTATTTAAAAAATCTGAATTGAGCTAAGATATGTTATTCCATCAATAAGTCATGTCATCTTTATTATTTTTGTCATTATGTGCATTCACTTGTTCTAAGTTGTTTCATTTTTCTGGTTATAAATATGTTATATCTTAAGAGTTACAAGAAAGCTAGTGAAAAAGATGCATTAATAAGGTGATTTTGCTGCATTATTTGAGATTTGAAGTTTGATTTTTTTTTTTAATTTTTACAATGAATATAGAGAAAATTAGAGACATTCCAACCAAAGATTTACTGGAGAATAGAAGCAGACGATTACACCAATATATAGAAGACGACCAGATAGTCCTTTTCAGATAAATGTTAGAAAAAATTAAATATTTAGATATTTCTTGCATGTGTCAGAAAATCAAGATTATATGCTTATAAGCATGCACGAGATGATGAAAATCAATGTTTATAAGCGAAATAATTTCTTGAATATTCAAGGTTAGATCAATTTAGAAAAGATGTTATACACGCATGATTATCATTTTGTCGATCTACATGTACTCCAAATGTGTTACCATTAACTACGACATGAAGGAGGTACTTCTGCTGATGAACTCGAAACCTCAACAAATGTCATTGGCCAAAACATTTTTTACCATCTTTAGTTGACACAAGAGGATGACTTTAATGTTCATTTTTATGAAAAACAGAAGGAGATTCTTAATGAAAATACAATTAAAAATACACCAGAAGAAGGAGACAGCTACCCACCCTAACTGGGTACAAAAAAAAATTATTATTATTAATAAGTACCCACCATATGCAACGATGATAATGAACCTATAAATTGATGGACCTGCATTAGTTGGCCCATCAATGGTTGTAATTGGTAGACTGAAATTCTTGGCCAAAATTTCTTTGGTCTAAGTATTCATTAATTAAGAACAATATTTTTTGTACCTAATTAAAGTAAGTATCTCTATGTCTCATTCTTTCGACATATTTTTGTTTGTACCTTCATTAAGAATCTCCATTCAATTTTCATAAATTTGTAGCAACAAATTATGGCAAAAAATAACATGATACATGTAATCCGCAGAGGCTTGGAATTCATCAACAGAAACACCTCCTCCTTCACGTCGTAGTTGGCGGTAACACATTTGGAGGACATGTTGATTGACAAAATGACAATCATGTGTGTAGAACATCCTTTCTAAATTTAATCAACCTTAACAATTCAAGAAATTATTCCTCATATACACATTAATTTTCATCAAATCTTTGTGGTTGCTTATAAACATATAATCATGATCTTTTGTCACTGACACATGCAAGATCTAAATATTTCATTTTCTCTAACTTTATCTCATATGGACTATCCGCGCATATTCATATATATTGGTAGAATCGTCTATTTTCATTCTCTAATAAAACTTTGGTTTGAATATCTCGAATTTTTTTCATAATTGGTCAATTCTATGCACACAAAAAATATATCAAACTTTAAATCTCAAGTAATACAGCAAAATTACCTGATTAACTTATCTCTTTTACTAGCTTCCTTGCAGCTCTTAGGAATGCTTAAGCAACATACTTATAATCAAAAGAAAAAATAACTTAAAACAAAAGAATGTACGTAATGACCAAAATAATAAAGATATTAATGAAACAACACAACTTCTTAGCTCAACTTAAAATTTTTAAATAATATATATTACAACTACTTCAGTATATAATGACTTCAATAATGACTAAAGAGATTCTAATATGTATAATACTAACTACACAAGATACCAATGAGAACAATAACCTGATGTAACATGACAATGCAACCCAATTGATATCACAAAAATTTCCACCAAAACAATTATATTAATGATTGTTAGCAAAATTAATTCCTTTCTATACAATATTTCCCAAATAGTTAAACAAACGACTTTGGCTAATATTTTTTTTTAAAGTTGAATTAAATAAAATAATTTAATATTAAATAATATCATAATCATTTAATCAAAGGAAGTTGATTTCTTCTTCTTTTTTTCAGATAGATTAGCAACTTGAAATCCAACTTCCTTTTTATATATCCACTTTTTCATTTTAGATTAACCTCAAAATTAGACAAATACTCATTCTAAATATTGAAGATTCCATACATCCACTTCTAGTCTACAACTTAAGGCTTCGTTTGAAACAGCTTTTGATCATTGCTTTTTCTATGCTTACATTAAGGGTCCGTTTGGGACTGCTTCATGGCTAGACAAAATACTCATTCTAAATATTGAAGATTCCATATATCCACTTCGAGTCTACAACTTCAGGCTTCGTTTGAGACAGCTTTTGATCATTGTTTTTTCGCTGCTTTCATTAAATCTGTGTTAGCAAGCTATTTCTAAAAGCAGAAAGAAAGCCAGCCCAAATGAAACCTAAGACTCTCACCTTTGTCTCTTCATGTCTTTCAATTTCAAAAAATCAAACAATTAGTGATTGAGCAACTCCAAATTTGGAAATTATTATTTTTTTATAATTATTAAGTATAGCTTTTCACATAGCATTAGCCTTCTATCTCATGCCACAAAAAAACCTAGCTGAGCCTATTCTAACAAATATATATGTATATCTAAGGTTTCGTTTGGGACAACTTTTTTACTACTCTCAAAGCAAACTTTCTAGTAAAAAAAAATTGTACTATAAAACTACTTTAAAAAGCACTAAGAAAACCGTCTCAAACGAAGCCCAAGTCACTCCTTAAATTATAAGCATTAGTTTAGCTACCATTTACTAGTTTTTAAACCATCATCCACTCCAACTTGAGTAGAAAAAATCTTAATTACATTTATAAGGTCACTGGTTATAATTAACTTAATATCAATCATCTAATTATTAATCACAATTTAACACTTTTGTCTTCCAACTAACTTTCTACTACAATCCATACACCATTCATGGTTAACTTTCCTACAATACATTAAATTATAACCTTCCACAATGATGTCTCAGTTCTTGCAAATTAAAAAAAAAAAATCTTTTTAGTTGAATCATTAACATCAACATTTTCCTAGTCTTCACATTCAACATCCAGAATTCCAAAAAAAAAAAGAAAAAATCCTAGTTTTAGGCTTAGCCAGCTTTCTCTCACTTTTCATAACAACTAAGTTGCAGTGCCCCACTTAATAGATGAAATCATAATTAACTTATGTTTAATTTTCATCACAATATAATTAAATTGTATCGGATTACTTGTGGATAATGCTATAATGAATCACTTAATCTACAATTAGTCTAACCTTTTCTAACATCCCTTTATCCGCTGTTAATCTAGCCTATTCTAATATTAGATAATTAAGGATTACAATGAGAGAAAGAAAGAATAGGAAGCAAGAGCGAGTATGTGTGTGTATGTGGGTAGCATGAGATAATTAATTAATCCTAAGTCAAAATAACCTCATCATACAATTAAGCACAAATTAGTAACCTCTAAAACAATATCTCATGGCTAACTATTGAAATAAACAATTCATTATCATTTTATTACCAACTGTTTCGACAAATCAAATACTAATAAATTATACGATTTAATGTTGTCGACTAAACCTATTGAATAGAAATAGTCCGGATTAATAATTTTAAAATTGATTAAATGTGGATTAACATGATTTGCAATAAATGAATTTTACTAAATCCTGCATAAAGTAAAACATCCTATTAATTTAGATTGACTTGGTTAGATCATGGTTTTAAGTTTTGATAAGTTTGAGTAATTTCTAGGTCTTGGAAGGATTTTGGCTGAAAACAATCTTAAACCAAGTAATATTTTAAATTTTCAAAAGTTTTAAGGACAACGGGGCTTAATTTAAAGAGTATCATTGATATTAGTGATGAATCAAAAATATTTGCATATTTTGCATCAAACTTCTGTGAAACTTCTGAGTAGTGGACAAAGTTCAACTAAAATTTCATTATTAAACCATAACAAATTTCATTTGTGATGCAATTTGCATCAAAATTCAATGATCCTATGTTTTATATCACACTTGCATTTTTAAATATACAAAAATAAAAAATTAATCGGAATCAAAAACCAAAAGTTAATCAAATTAAAATTGAAGCTTTGAAGATGGGACGGAAACGAAGATTCAAAACCTTATATCAGATTATACAAATTGGATCAAATACCTGATGGCATAGAATTTCAATTCTTTGCAAATTAAATTAAAACAAACTCATTGCTAAAAAAACCAGATAGTAAATAATTGATGCAACCTAAGTTCTAAAATCAAGTAGGATAACACTAGGCATGCAGAAAGACTCCTTTCACTATCACATAATCAAACACCAAATCATAGAAACTTGGTAGAAAACCAAATGTAGGAAAATGATTAGGAAGTGATGCAAGAAAACAAAGAAATAAAACACAAACTATAACCCCTCTGAGCAACCACAAATGGTCACCTCACATGCAAACACAAACTAGGGAAGGTGCTCAAAGGAAATGACAAAACGGTATGATCCAACAAAAAACATTGTTCCTCTGACAAATATCAAAAGAACAGGGCAAATCACCACTTATTACTTATAATAATTTAGAGAAGAAAAATAAAGGTAGAAGGGAAACCGTGTAGAAAAGAAGTTTAAAGAAAATCGAGACGTAGTAGTAGAAATGTAGAAGACAGCTCGCAAGTTTAGAAGAAATCCTCAAGTTTAACACACAATAGTTTAGAGAAGAAAGATACTGGTGGAAGGCGAATCGTGGAGAGAAAAAATAGAAAGAAGAAAGAGACGAAGTAATAAGGTATAGGGAGAAGAGAAAAAACCAGCTTGCAGGCAAAAAAACCTCAAGTTTACGTTTTTTTTTTCTTTTAAAAACTCTTCCGCACAATGAAATTCAACCACTATATATAGGAGAAAGGGAGAAAGAGCATTTTTTTGCTCACATAAATGTTCCCCCAAAATAGTCAATAAGAACCACCCAAATCAGCCCACAAGAAGAGAAGTCTGAGCATTCTGGACAGGGAAACAGCGAGTGGAAAACCGAGCAGCCAGCAACAGGAAACTGTGTTGACAGCAGCAGAGAAACGAGTGAACAACAGAGAAACTGAACAGCCATCATGAAAAAAACCAAGCAGCCATCAATCTAAGGGAAAAATAGGTCAAGCCCAATAAGTAAAAGAAACAACCCACAAATAATCACCAACCAGACACAAAGGAGCAGGATCAACACAAGTGAAAACCTAAGAGCAACAAGCCCGACAGTATCATTGGTTATTTTCCTTCCTAAGGTCCTACAAAATAAAATTACATAGAGTCCAAAACATAAAAAATTTAAAAAAAAATATTTATCAAATGATAAATCTTGTCTGCCAGAGCAAATATCAGCATCACTACATTGAGCAAATATCAGCATCAAAAATAGCAACATGAACGATACTGAAAGATAACTAGATCCTTAACTCCCAATAAGACAAGGGAAGATAAAACTTAACAAGGCACCCTATGAATTGTTCGATCAAAACAATTTAACTTGAATCCCTATAAAGCAAAACTTAAATGGAAATGTTAAAAAATCTCTTCCATCAACATTTATTTCCAACAATCTCACAAGTTATATCAAAACATCTCTTCTACTTCATGTGTGAAATAAGGCAAGAGTAGCCATCACTCACCTTGCTTCTGATAGACGAAGGTCAGACCGCACTTGCCACAGTAATGCCGATCGAAGTGGTTCGCCATGAAAATCCCCGCTCCGCACACAGCGCTGGGGCACTCCTTGCGCAGGCGCACCACTTTTCCAGTATCACCAACTTTATAGAACTGCAGCACGGCGAGCTTAACCTTCTTCTTCTTGTGCTTGATCTTCTTGGGTTTGGTGTATGTCTTCTTCTTGCGCTTTTTGGCACCCCCACGGAGGCGGAGAACGAGGTGAAGCGTCGATTCCTTCTGGATATTGTAATCGGCGAGGGTACGGCCGTCCTCAAGCTGCTTCCCGGCGAAGATTAAGCGCTGTTGATCTGGCGGAATGCCCTCCTTATCCTGGATTTTTGCCTTAACGTTGTCGATTGTATCAGAGGACTCCACCTCGAGGGTGATCGTCTTCCCCGTTAGGGTTTTGACGAAGATCTGCATCTTTCCGTCGTAGGTCTAGAGTTAGCCGCCGTCCGGTCGCTCTTGAAGCTCGTAGCGGCTAGGGTTTCCAACTGATGACACAGCACTTATACAGTTTTATTTTATGAATGATGAGGGTAGCGTTTAGATATCTCGCGAGTAAAATGTATTGTATCATTTTCCCAGCTTTTTTTTCTTTCTTTCTTTTTTTTGCAATGGATAAAATTATTTTTTTTTTTCAATATATGGCGATAACATTTTTAGAAGTTTTATCAAATTATTTTTCTCTCCGTGCATATAATCAAATAATATATATATATATATATATATATATCATATTTGCTATATTAATATTATAGGGAACCCTATATTTATAAGAAATTGTGAAAGTATTCAAAATTCAGGTTTGAAAATTATTGTTTCTCTAAGAGGCTATTTAGTAATGGGATTTAATTCAGATCCAACTAAAAAGTGTAAAATACTATTTTAAATTCAATAATTTTAGAAATCCCTAGTTTTACTTTATTTTATCTAAATTTCAGGTTTTGTAAAATAAATACAAAAGTTTTGAGGTTTTTTTTTAAAAATCTTGAGTGGGATGTAAGGTAAATATAGTGGCACTCCTTTGAGGATTTTGAAATTCAAAATGCTTTCCCTAGCTAAACTGATTTCAGATGAGACTTTGATCTACTTGCCACCAACTTATGAGGTTGAAGACCCCGACTTGCTTGAAACCATTGTGTTGGCTCAGAATCTTGGCAAGAAATTTTTAGCTTGATCGAATATGTTCGATGTTTGTCAAAATCTTATTAATGATTCTAGAATATTAGTCTGTGTGGAATTTTATTTTGTCAATCAATTGAATTGTATTGTTAACTTGGTCCTCTGTTCAGTTTGTTGTGGTGCGGGGTTCCTCCTTCTGTTCGGGTGCTTTGCATCAATTTTTTTTTTATTTTTTTTACAATGCTCCATCGTTATGTATCTGAGCGCCCGTATCTGAGAGCCCCGATGTTGCAAAATTTGTTGAGTGAAATGACAAAGAGCTTAGCATCACAATTCTCTAAATTTAGCGTTGCGGTGTTATCAAATGGACCAATAACAGATGTGTTACACCGCATCGCTTCGAGGCAGACCGGACAATTTTCTCTCTTTTTTTCATTAAGGGTGCATGGCGTCCCTTGGTGTTTTTTACTTGAATTTTCTTTTATTTTGTGTGTGAGAACGGTATAAGAGTGAAGAGAAGCAAGGAGTGAGCAAGAGAGAATATAGATATATACAAATTTCTCCTAATTTTCATAATGAATTTTTTAACGTAGTGTGGTTCTGTAGTTTTTTTTCCGATTTCAAAATTTTTCCACGTTAGATCCTGATGTCCTCTTCTATTCGTTGCTTTCTATTTCTTATTTTGTGCATAGAATCATATAACATTGCTTGGAACTTCACCAACGCATGTCTTATGTTCTTCATTGTATGGTTGACATACATGAAGTCAGTTCTCATCAGTCTAAGCCAAATGCGAAATAATTTTTATCTCACTATATAGGTTTAGCTACATTAATTTTTTTTCTCCATTAAGTTCTATTAAGAATTAAATTCTCATTTAAATCTAATTTAGGTCTCATATATGATTAAGGATTTTATTCAAGCCTAAACTATAATCATAGACTAAACAATTGTATTATTTATAAATATTATAAAGTAAAATTAGTAGAATAATGACATTATATAATATTAATTAAGGCACTACAGAAAAATTAGCGATTACAAGCGGTAATTCCAGGGGTCAAATAACCGTCGGAATTACCGGTTGTGTATGCCGTTGGAAACTAACCACCGCAATTCATTTCCCACGCGGTTTAAACCGCTGGAAAAATGCTGGTAGTTTTCATAAACCGCCAAAAAAATTAATGCTAGCCGCCGAAAATTGGCAATTTTCCTGTACTAAGGTAATCTTACAAAAAAGAATCTCCAAAAAAAAAATTACTAAATGCACAATCCTCATATGCACTATGCTAGTTAAGTGTACTAATGTCAAACATACTAGATTACTCATGTCATAAAAATTTATCTTAGCTTAATTTATTTATTTCTTAACATATAAAATATTATCTTAGCTTTAGAACATATCATGAAAAGATTTGTATGTTTGTTAGCCATCATAAGATAGTGAATTGTATCAAATCCACACCATATAATATAAGATTGGAGAAATTATTCTGTGCGGAACCCGGGCGTAGATTGCATTCAGACTCCAGGCCCCGTCGCATGTACACACCTTGTGTACAGCCTTCTATACATAGTGTGTATGATACACATTGTGTATATGCGATGTGGTCAATTTTGATTGGAGTCGAGACGCATTCAAATTCCGCACATAATAATTTATCATAAGATTGTGACCCCATCTATAGGCTAAGATAATAAAATAAAATAAAACTCATATATAAGTGTATAACTCAACATTATTGCTACTGAACCTATCTCACATAATATGATCTTTTTAAAGCCTTTTATATTTTACAACATATAATATTTAATTATTTATCATATTTATCATGAATATAATATTTAACATTAGCTCTATTTTAAAATAACTTATTTCACATAAAATGTTAGAATATTTATAATCTGTCAAACACGTGATTGTATAATTTAAACTTAATATGTGGTTATTTAATATGAATTGTAGACATATATATAAAATAAACATGTATTTTGTAATATAAAACTTTCTAATATGGTACATATATACAAGAACAATTTATTTATAAAATTATATTAAAAATACTAAAATTGCTCGACGAGTCTTTGATCATTCTTCAATTTGTAATAAACAATTTGATCAAGAATTGTGCGATATTAACAAAGTTATAGATAGTCCTACTACAAAAAAAGAGTACAACCAGCTTAGGCTTCGTTTGGGACGGCTTTCTTGTTGCTTCTTAAAGCAGCTTCCTAGTACAAAAATTTTAATTTTTGTACAAGGAAGCTGCTTTTTGAAGCAGAAAGAAAGCCGTCCCAAACGAAGCCTTAGTCTTTGCCCTTGAGCAAGATAAGGAAGACCTAGCAAATGAGGGCATCGAACGCCTGCTAGATATGCATGATGGTCTTATAAAAGACAACTTAAACACATTAGAATGGGATGTCGGAGACTAATATTAGTTTGAAGAAAAGATTTTCGAAAGTAACGACAAAAACTAAGTTGATTCATATTCATAATTAAAAAGAATTCCTTTTAAACAATGTGTCGAAGCTCAACTCTCATAATATCATGAGGGGAGTAAATAATCCAAGATTAATTTAAGTCCAATAAGTCTACCAAAAGATTATAGGTTGGATGATTAGTATAGGCTCGATGGGTTAAAGACTTAAAAGTAATAGTGTTCAAGAAATTCTGATAATGTTGTGGTGGAGGAAAAACTAGAACAAGTCAATGACTCGATGAGATTTGATTTGCCAAGCTTGAGAGCTCTATTATATTATTGATGTGTCATCAATAAATTATCTTGATTGGGCATGAATCTCGAGGTAAAATAAAGCCGGAAATTTCAAAAATTAAATTCAGAATCATCTGAACTCTGATTTCAGTAAACGTATAGTCGAACTGATCATCTCGGAAATACGAACCCAACGACGCCAAATTTGACTCAATCTGAGCCCAAAAGAGTCCAAATCAAGGACCCGAAGAGTTGTTGGAAAGTTCGAACCACATTTTGAGTTACCAAACGGTTTCCAAACATAATTTGATTATAGTCAAATCGAGCGGCTCGACGAGATGAATCCAACGAGCCCAAGATCATCGAATTCTGACATCATTAAGACCTTCAAATGTCTGATGAACGGTCCACGATCAAGGGATTCAATATCGGTCATCCATTCAAATCACTCCAAATTTGCCCTTGATCCTCCTCCTATTTACGGATCATGTCATCCTCAAAAAGCTATAAATAGCCTCTCATTTCTCTTGAGAGGCAGGAGGAAGGCCCAAGCAAGAAGAAGAAGGGGCTGTTTGGTTGCCTGAATTAGGAGGGTAAAGTAAAAGAATTACAGGTATTTATTAAATTTGATTATTTGATTAATTTTGAGTGGAAGGAATGAAATACCTCCAAAGCAATAGCGGGGTATTAGTAGAGGCAATTTGCGCAACTTTGTAACCCGCTCAAATCGAGCGGGTTAGAAATTCTTTGCGGCTGTTGCGTGATGATTTCGCCGCAGCTCCTTCTCCGTTCTTCCTTGCTCTCTTCTCCATTCCTGCGATTGCGCTGGCGTTCCCGCATCGTCGCTTCGCCCTGGTTCGCAAAACCGTCGTGGAACTCTTCCTTCACTTCGGCGTCGACTGACGTGGGAGACCCCGACGGACAACCTTCTCCATTCCGCGAGCACTACGACCTCTTCTAACATTCTCTCTATTTCTCAGGCCTCTCCAACTTTACCTCTGACCTCAACCGTCAATGGCTCTCCGATCGCTACTTCACTAGCGGCACCATTGGTACGGTGGCCGAACCCCAACACTTCACTCAACCATAGGAACGCACTCTCCGCTTCTTATAGACCTTTTGATCGGGATGGAGAGGAGGAGGATATGGATGAGCTCCTTGTTGGTTGTGATGGTTGTTCTCTCCTTCGAGATAGGTGCCCTCTGCGATTCTTTTGAGAAGAAGGTATGCTTTTTCTTTTCAAATTTTTGGATTTGTGGTTTGGGATATGTGCAGGATTTTACTGTTTTTGTTTTGGATGCAGGGAGGGCTCTGTTGAGATTTAGAGAAGGGGTGAAGTTCGATCCATATGGAGCTCTGTCAAACTGGGGAAAACAAGGTGTTGATCACTGTTTCTGGCATGGCGTAGTTTGCTCTGAAGATGGGAGAGTTGTGTCTCTGTGAGTATTCCTACTTCTGATCGATATCCTGATAGTTATTTTCTATTAGTAGATATAAATCTTATTGCTGATCCAAAATAATTTGTATGGGGTAATGATGATGATGAGATATTCATCATATTGGAGTTTCGATGATTGATTTTCGGTGTAATCACAGGTAGAAGTAAATGCAATACGACTGAATTTGTTCTCTTTGATGTGTAATTCCTTCTGCTGATAATTT